TTTTTTTTTTTTTTTTTTTTTTTTTTTTTTTTTTACAATAGTTTTTTTTTTTTTGTTTTCTAAGTTAGAAATATAGATAATTTGAACTTGTGAATACCAAATAGAGTGTTTTTTTCCGTTTTTTTCATTATTTATATATTTATTTTTTATTTTATTCCTAGATTGTTTTTTAATGCCTTGTGAAGAACACTGGATTCGAGGCGTTTCTCGCGACTCTGAGTTTGATGGTCTTTCTGCCTTTTCTGGGGATGTCATGCGCAACCCTCGAAGTAGACATTTGTTTGGTGAATTGCCCATTAATGCTCTTTCCAATGATGTTGGACTCTCTGGTTGCCATAATATAGTAGAATCAGGTTGTGGAAGGAGTTCAATGAGTTTTTTAAAATCCCAACGACATGAACCTTTATGGCAACCAACACGATTAACATCACCCTACTGTGTGTTGAGTGCTAATGGTGTTCAGGATGATTTTTATACATCTTCACTTTCATGGGGACGTGAAAGTGTTCTGTTGGCATTACGGGATGAAGTTCTTTTATTTCAACCATCCCGTCCTGCGGAGCGACCAGCGGTGTTAAATATTCAAAAACGTGGTCGTGGTTCACTTTCAAGAGTAACTTCTGTTTCCATGAGTCGTTTTTCAGATGCATGTTGTTTCTTAGGGGAGTTGGATGGTTCTGTTGGAATGTATGAATCTTGTGGAGATGGTTTATTATTGCCAACCAACCGTTTCGAAATGCCGCCTTCTCTTCTTGAAAAAACTCCACTTTATGGTGCATCTGCAATGGCAGCCACTGCGAGTGTTCGTTGTCTCACAACAAATGCTGAACATCCATGGATGGTGGCTGCAGGAACAGCAGCACAAGGACTCTTTATTCTTGACAGTCGTTGTACCAAACCTTCAGCGCAAATGGGAGGATGTGATTTACCTTTTCCTTGTAAAGAGAGAAGATTAGATTCATCACCATTATCACCAGAGGATGCTGTTTCATTACTTTCATCTGCAACTGGAATTTCTGGTATTGCATGGAATGCATCTGGTTCACTTGTAGCAACAGGTAGAAGTGATGGTATCGTAGATATTTGGTCCTTATCACAAACACGTACTCCAGTTATGCAGATGAAACTTCCTAGTTTGCATACTTCTATTAAAGCTATCGCATTTCATCCTACAAATCCGTATGAACTCACTGTGGGAGGAGGATCTAATGATGGTATTCTAAGAGTGTATGATGTTTCCTCTGCAGCACCACAGCTTTCCTGGTCTGTATCTACACAATGTCAGGTAACGCAAGCATTATATTCTCCAGATGGAGCTTTCATTGTTTCTGCACAGGGAACACAATTAAAAGATTTTTCTTTGGGTACATCTCCTACTAGATATTCTTCCTCATCTTCAAATTTAAATACGAGACGTCCTACTAGAGATGATACCGAATCCCATTATGAAATGGGAAATCATTTAGAACGATTAACGGAACGAATTGAACGAGATATGAGGGGTGGTGAAGGTCGTACACAGCGAGAAGGTGATGAAGACTTATTAACATATGATTCTTTAACAACAGAGACAACACCTTCTATATATGCAACGAATCCATTTTCTTTGGTTGTCTGGCGAAAAGGTACTCAACAGCGGGGTTCAACCTCATTGGGGTTTACCAGTAACGCTTCTTCTATCCATAATCAATTTGGATCCTATGCTAATGAGTCACGACATACACCACTTCCTCTTGTCTCTATGTATACCATGTCGGGACACCGATCTCGGCCATTGCAGTTATCAGCCCCCTTTGCCCAAGCAGCGAATGAAGGCTGCATGGCCTCTATTGCTGGCGGTATGGATAGTACGATTCGATTTTGGAGGCCTTTTTGTTTGAAAAGTGAAGGCACTACTTGGGAACAACGTTCTCGCAACTCTTTGCGAACTGCCATCACAGATCAAGATGTTGAGGATATGATGACGCTTCCACTAAGGTGAAACTGTAGAAGAAGAAGAAGAAGCAGGAGAAGGAGAAGAAGGTTCCACCTATTATAAACACATATATACATACATACATACATACATACATATACTTCTATTCATATATATATATATATATACACTTAATTGCGTACAAAAAAAGAAAAAAAAAAACGATACATAGATACATTCGATTTTATTTTGTGGTTTGAACCACATCCATAGACGAAAATCGATGTACTGCTTCTAACGTAAATTTGGGGTTGATGGTATTTCTCTTTTTATCTCTCTTTCTTTCTATCATTTTTTTTTTTTTGCCTCATTGTTTGTGAAGGTGTTTTTATTTTTATTGTTTTTACCCGCAATGACGACGATAGCAAGAAAAAGAAAGATAAAAAAAAAAACCTCTACAGGAAATCCGTAAAAAAGGGGAAAAGAAAAAAAGTACTTGATATTTTCTATCGTAATTATTGCTGTTATTGTTGTTATTATTTTTCTTTGATCTTTTTTTTTTTTTCTTCTCGCTTTTGGTTTCGTTTGATCCTTAGTTTGTTATTTAATCATAGATTTATCAGAAAGTGGATTAAAAGGGAAAATATTAGGATATATATCACATTGGGCATTCATAATAATATAATAATATAAAAAAAGTAGAAAAAAAAAAAAGAAAACGAAAAACGAAAAAAAAAAAAAAACAAAAGATGGGTTATGGTTGGGTAAAAACGCTTCTGGCCATTGAGTTATGTATCTCTTTGGCCGTTGTTATCTGGGTACCGTACACTGAAATTGATTGGAATGCCTATATGCAAGAAGTGAAGGGTTTTCTCGATGGTGAACTTGACTATACAAAACTAAAGGGAGACACTGGGCCACTAGTCTACCCAGGTGGTTTTGTTTGGACCTACAGTGCTCTGTATTTTATTACAAAAGGAGGAACAGATATTGTGATGGCACAATGGTTATATGCAGGTGTTTATGTAATGTTATTTGCTGCCGTTGCGCAATTGTATGTGCGATCTCATATTCGTGGACGTTTACTTATTCGTCTTCTTCTTTCAAAACGTATTCGATCACTTTTTATGCTTCGATTATTTAATGATTGTTGGGCTATGTTACTTTTATACTTGGCAGTGGTTACTCTTGCTAATGGACGTCGATGGAAACTTGGATGTCTTTTATATAGTATGGCCGTATCTGTAAAAATGAATATTTTTCTTTTCGCTCCAGGTTTATTGATGGTTCTTTGTAAAGCCCTTCCATGGTCAGGGGTTATTTCATGCCTTATGGTATGTGCTCTTTGGCAGATAATAGCAGGACTTCCATTTCTTCTTCATGATCCACAGGCGTATTTAGGAAAAGCCTTTGAATTGGGTCGTGTATTTACATACAGATGGAGTGTAAACTTTAAGTGTATTCCAGAGGAATTATTTGTATCTCCAGAGTTTGGTAAAGTATTGTTAGCGCTTACATTGATAAGTTGGATTATTCTTTGGCGTCGACGATGGTCCCATAGACTTTTCCGACGAACCCGCGTCGCAACATTAAGATATGTAGATCGAGATTCAAAACTTATGGAAGATAATGTTCAGGATTCACAAGATGAGGTATATCGTAATATTGCCTTAACATTAATGGAATCCAATCTTATTGGAGTTATATTTGCACGTTCACTTCATTATCAATTTCTTGTATGGTTCTTTCATTCCATGCCAATGGTATTATCAGCAACACGATTACCTTTTCCACTTCAAATTGCATCTGTTGTTGCCGTACAATATGGGTTTGAGGCTTATCCAAGTACGGCATCATCCTCTTTGGTGTTATTATCTGGTTTCGCTCTTGCATGGATTGGTGTTCTTTTCTTTGGAGCAGATGGAGATATTTCTTCTTTTTCTTCTCCTTCTAACGTCTCTTCAGAACGTAAAAAGAGAGCTTTACAAAATAGTAAATTTGAAGAGGATAGAGTAGAGAGTGTGGCGAAGAAGATACAGTAACATTTGCTTACTGTTCTCCTTCTCTCCCTTTCTCTCTCTTTTCTTTTTTTCTTCTTTTGTTTTTCTTCTTCTTATTATTATTATTATTATTATTATTATTATTATTATTATTATTATTATTATTTGGAGATGCTGTGTATACTGAGTGTTTCGTACAGCTAACTGCAAAGGACATTGACGAAAGAGAGAGAGAGTGTGTGTGGGACCAGCGTATGAGAATATCTGCTAATTATGTTTTTTGCAATGGAGCTGCATATACAATTGTGGTATTCTTTATTATTATCATCAATTTTTTTTTTTTTTATTTTATCATTTGGGCCTTTTTTTTTTTTTTTT